AAATGTAACACAGAAATATCTACAGAAAACAGAAGATCTGCAGCAGGASATCTGGATGGCATTGGCCATTGACTTGCACCAGTTGTTACAGTAGAGAGCTTTAAGTTCTCTCCAATATGATAAAATAGAGATTATTTAAAGCAYTGCTCCATGGCATCTGATCACTCTTTATTTAGTGCAACACAACATAAYTCTGTTATTCTGTATAAATTGTGTGGTGTCCTTGTTGAGCTTACTAAATTGGCCACAATGAAATCCTGTGGCTGTGACTGCTAGCTACTATAGAGAAATCCTTTATGGGTTTCAGTATTTTGCAGCCTTTTATTTCATTAATGTGTTTCACCATTTACCTACTTTATCTGCATTTGAAACAGCTCAGTAGAAGCAATATTGAATATCAAAYACAGCCATTCTTACAGCATTATAGGTACTATTACTTGCAGCACAGATCATAAGATAATTTTAATCTGGCTCCCCTAATGAATAGTCTGYGAACAGAATCTTAAATGTGAGGGCCTAATTTTCAGAGATTCAGCACTTGGGGGAATTGCAACAATGTCATTTRCATGTTATATACTTAGGCAATTTACAAAAGCTGCAATTCCAGCTTTCTTATTACGGTGTTATTTATTAACTATTTTTCAGGTTTGTGTCTGAAGAAGAAAGAAAGTGCATGACAAATACACCACTGCTGGAAACTGGATTGAAGTTTTCTTTTTCTATGTGGATTATGAAAAGCRTGGATGTGTTTTATTTTAGAGCATGTATAATGCTCCCGCCCCTAAATGCGTCTCCATCATTATAGGTGCAAGTTGTCTTTTCAGGGTCCTACTCTTGGCTCATTCTACTTTTGGTAACATGCCTATGGTAGGTAAAGTGCATCACTGATCGGTTTGAAACACTGCTCATATTTAATCATTGTTCTTGCAGTTTTCCTCTGGGCTTTGAGCTGTGGCAGATATTTTATGTAGGTAGAAAATGCCATTTTTCTTTTGCTAGAATTCTTCTGGGGAGATGCTGTCAGAGTGCTCCATCACATGTGACACATCATCACTTACAGAGAATTATCTCTAATACAAAATTGAGTTTTTATCTTGAACTGTCGAGTCTGAGAAGCCTTGACTGTGACACAGGGGAGTGGAAGGAGCTGGATTTAGTAGCTGATTCCTCTTCCAGGAYTGAACATATCCTATCTCTCATACCCAGTTCTGTCCTTAAACTCATAACAGATGCCACCTCCCCTTCATGGGCTAACAGATATCCTCAGTTAATACATCTCCAGTGCAGCCTCCCCCAGCATTAGGCTGTGCTCACATTATAGTGACCAAATTTTCAGTCCAGAACTAGGTGCTGTCACAGTGCTGACATCACTAGTCCTCTTCCTGCACTCTGACTCTTACGATTTGTCAGCTATTAGCTGTTAAAATCATGTTGGAAAGAGTGGTGGAAAAACACTCAGTCAGCAAATCAATCCAACACTGTCCAAGCAAATAAATTTTGAATACTGGTTATGAATCAAAGCTCAAAAAAAAAAATTAAAAAAAAAGAGTGAAGTGTAGAAGTGTATGGTTCTGTGCAACTGTGTGCCAATAAATGTAAGCACAAAACATTGCACCCTAGAGAATGATGTTTGGGAAATGCTGTTTCCAGTTCTGTTTGCTGACTGCTCCCTGACAGGCGTGGGGCTCTGAAATGCAGCAACAGCCATCACTCTCCTGGGAAATTCCCTACTCACCTCCACAATTACAGATTCCTGGTCTAAGATGTGATCCTTATTTCTCCATCCAATGAAATTGCTTTCTCCCAGTAATCTTCGCACAAGGAGCAGCAGTGACTACATTATACAAAAGATATTTGAAGATTTTGTTAAATATTCAATAGCTGAAAAATTTAATCATTATTTGGCTAAGGACATACCAAAATCACAGCAGTTATCTTCAGTTCTGGAACTCAGAACAGAGACAGCTGAATCTTGTCTTTTTCTAGGCTTTTTCCAAGATTTCTGTGAGGTTTTGTTAGGTTTTTTTCAGAGTGGCACAATGGAGAATAAAAGATGTGCTCATGCTGTGAGCCACAGCATAAACTCTGTATTTATAAGAGTGTAACAAATTCTCTTTTACTCTCTTACCAGACAGGAAAAATATTGGAATTCCCCAGGACCTGAGACCCCACACAGACATGCTTAGTTTGCAATCAACTGATAGGATTTRTATTTCAAAATCCTCTTCACCAATCAGTAGCACATTTCAGAATACCCTGAATAGCTACGTAGGCATCAGTGCACTTTGTAAAACAGTATCCAGTGAAACCTAATGTCCAATGWGGCATTCAAACACAGAGTGCTGCCTTCTCACGAAGCACCATTTACACGTCAGTTTATTTCGCTCCTAGCCACCTTCTGAGGGGGTAATTTTTTTTCTGCCATTACACAGTAAGCTTCTTCTGCTACTTTAAAAAGTGGCAGATGTCATTTCCTGCAATTTATCGACGGAGGAAGCCGAGGGCCAGGGAACAAAGCCCAGCTTTCGAGTTCCCGCAGCGTTTCCTGGCCGWGCTGCTTCCCTGTCCCGACATCGCCGATGCACGGGCGCTGTGCAGCACCAACGCAGCCAAGAAGCGTCTCTGCTCCCCCGCATTTATCTCCATGGGGAAGAGGTAACTAATAAAACACCCAGGATTATTCAGAAAGCTCTCCTACAGACTGCAGATAGCTGAACGATTGCTCTTGACACACAGGAGAGGTTCATGACAGCTGAATCACTGTTTGGTTGTGCGACTCCCACTASAGCTCAAGCTGCCTCCTTTCATGCCACCCTCCCACGGCACCTCTTGAACACGCTGCTCCTGGTCACAGACACACACTCCCTCCTTCCTCTCAACCCTGCTGTGCCAAGGTGGCACTAAGTGGGAAGTCCTACGAGCTCAAGTGGCGAAAGTATGAACCTCTAAAGCAGTACATGCAGCCAGGCCTAAAAAATAAATTAAGAGTTTGGCGTTTGTACCTCACCACTCTCAGCATTGCTGCTCTCTTTGCCACACCAGGTGCTATTGTAAAGGAAAGAAACACCATCTTCTGTCCCAAAGCACCAGTAGCATTAGGGATCCATCAGGATGGCGCTGGGACCATCCCACCCTCTGGTTACCCATACTTCTGGGCTAACTTTTTTTTTTTAACCGTCCAATTCTGTTTGTCTTTCTCTTCCTCAATGCTACCTTTCAGTCCTTAAGTGCTTTTTGGCTTGGTTGACTACAAGGGATGCTCCCTGTGAGGACTTGCTGTCTTGCAYACAAAGTCCTGTTTCTAATCTTTCTGCTGTGCTCCTTTTTGCTACCCTGTGTTTCCACAGCCACCCACAGAACAGAGGTGGTGACTCAGAAAGGGAAGTTTAATATCGTCCAGAAACAGAAATAACCAGAAAACCCAAAAAATAAACAGAAATAACCAGAAACAGAAATAACCAGAAATAACCATAAACCAGGAGTTTTACTTGGGCAGTTTACTGCCTTTTTCTTATTGAGAACAACAAGTTGTAATGACTAAAGAACATCACACGGGTTAGTTTTGAAAATTATCAGACYGATCTGTCCCACAGCTGCTTTCATAATACCAAGAACAACAGGAATCAGGGAGTGTTGAGAATGGTGGAGGTTTGATTGAAGTGTTTACAGGAGATCAAAAGACTGAAGGTCTTTATAGGATACATGCAGATCTATTAATCTTTAAACCAAGTGGTTAAATACTCCATTTAGAAACTTAATTGGTCAGAGCAAGTAGGTGTGAATAGAAAAAAACAACCATGTGGTAAAATCCTACGCTCATTACAGTCAAAAGAAGCTAGCTGGAGACATCACCAGTTTCAGAATTTTGCTCATGGTATCAAAACCCAATGGGTTCGTCACCCTTAGCTATATAGGGATAAAATTATTTCACGGTGAAGAACATGCCTTTACAAGGGCACACTGTGCCATGATTATGGCTGCATGATTACCCTCCTTGCAAATRTCACCCTTTGTATTAATTTTTAACCTTCAATTAACACAAGTGCAAACCTAGGTAGGCTAAAGCTTATTGAAGATTATTACACATGCACAGGACACTCAGGAGTTTCCTTGATCTGTGCAAGGAATAAATATAGCAAGAAGAAATCAGCATTACTCATAACATCCATGCCACAGAACACTAGAAAATCATATAAAGGGAAAGGATTCTCAAGCACTGCAAGAGTGAAGGACTGGGTCCTTTCAGATTAGTTTATTTGATTAGTAGACAAGTGTTTTTTGGAACTCACTTCCATTTTTCACGCTGGCGACTCTGAATCATCTCTCTCTGCTGCTTCAACTTCAAAACAGGAAAAAGTGAGTACAGTAACCAGCCATGGAGCCTTATAAAATTATTCTTGTGCTGAAAAAAGTAGCTGAAAAAATGGTTTATTCATACAGCATCATTTACCATGCCTGCATGGGCCAGCTTGTGAAATCGTGCAGGGCACCATTCCGGCATTCTTTGCTGCAATAACAACAWGAAGGTATAAAAAGAAAAAAGGACCTGAGACAATGGGAAAATTTTGCAATGCTMCACTTAAATCCCAGTCCTACTGACTTGAGCAGAAGACTATCATCAAAAGCAGAAGGGCCACAGCTTCAGCAGCAGAACCCATCCCAAACTCTGCTTTGAAGGCTTTTGCTGTTTTGGTGGCATCAATAGGCTCATGAGTGCCCCTTGGTAACTGCAGCTGGGGGAATTCCTGAAACAGAGTTGTATGCTACAGCTGACTGGTGTGTTCAGAGGATGGAAGGCATGGATTAAATATCCAGTGCCTCTGGGATTAAATATCCAATGRCTGCTTGCACAYGAAGKAAAACCACCAAGGGAKGGARTTTGGGGAGGAAGAATGCAGATRAGGTTTAGAGAGGTGCTCYTTTTTCCAACAGGMACTGTTCATCCTTTTCTTGTGTTYAAAAAAAGAATTAACTTTAGAATCTACATGGTTAAACTGTATGTGAACTTTTCCAATTAGCCTTTTTATTTTAAATTGAGCAATATATTGACATATGCCCATACTCAATGATTATTGGAGCCAAACAAAAGCAAAAAAGGCAGTCAGATAAACAGTCACTCATATTTTGGCTCCATCTTCCAGTTAAAAACTACATAAGCAGTTCAACTGAATTACAGCACATTTAAGAAAATAAAGGCCTCAAAAGAGTGCAAAGTCAACCTGTGATTRATTTTATTTTGAATACTTCACTGGGTCTTTGTTGCATCTTTCTATATAATCTRGAATAAACATTGTAAAAAAATGGACTGATAAAATGGATGCACAGATGCTTTAAGAAAATACAATGAGAAAAATATACATTTGGTTTTAAAATCATCATCACCAGCTACTTAGAYAGAGCCAGATACTTTGCTTGCAAGTGTTTATCTTGAACTCTTTTAACATGCAACATGTAAACTCCCTGAAGAATTTTTAGCTACACATCATCTTTCAGAGTATCTACTTGACTCAGCTCATTTTAAGACTTTATGGTACATACAAAGTTGGACCGAGCATGAATAATGCACAATAGTGATCTCCATTTTAAGGAATCAGCACTATAATCAGATCCTAACATATTTAAAGGGTCAGTTAGCTAAATATACATATTTTAACTTTTTTAAAAGATATGTATCTACATTACTCAAAAAAAAAAATCTTCCTTTTTAATAAGGTAGAACAGGATCAGCAATTACATATATTGTAAGAGCTGAACAGGCAAAAATCTACCAGCCCTTGTCTATGTGATGATCATTTTTCACTTACTATTTTTTGCCTTAAAACAAAGGAAAAACCCTTTTCACATTACAACTCTTTTCAGGTTGTAATGTGCTAAACAGAAATATATAAATGCTAAGAATACCCAGGACACCAGTTCTGATAACCTGTTTGGGGGAAGAGACTCTACAGAAATGCTTCATTTGTGATATAAATTATGTCATTCTGCAAATGCTGTGCAAAGAGTGGTGGAGCAGGACTGCAAAAGGAGCCTTACTGGGTTTTAGGCCTCTCTGAAGCATGATGCTAACTGTGATGACATTTTTCCACAGCCTACATTTTTCAATTAGGACTAAAAGCCAGAAATAAAATTCCAACAGCCAAATTTGGGGATTTCTGATAAAGTGAGACTGACCTTGCATATTTATGGTGCAGATGGATCTTGAGCTAACGCWGTTATTTTGCTGTAGATAAATCTAWAGCAGATTTAGATGTGATAGATTTGGCCCTGGAAGACTAATTTCACAGTGGCTCAGAATACAGATAGCAATGTGAATTTCAAGTTGCTTCCCATCAACTTCAGGTTCCATTAGAAGATTTCCAGCTGCCAACATGGAGAAGGCCTGCCTCAAAAGCAACACTTGCAGGTGCTCACCACAGGTTAAATGCTTCATTTTGTGCAACACAGCATAGAACTCRCTCCTGGCAAGGTCGTTATGTTAAGGCACACAGTCTGTAACCAGACACTGAAAGAGATTAGCACCTTCTAAAACTGCTCCTAACCCACAGAGTTTGACATTTAAAAGTGCAGGCTCAAGATGTGACATTTACTATGCAAACTGTTTTCATCCCGCCCCATCACCGCTTTAATTTTACAATGACCAGAAAGTAAATTAAGTCCCTAATAATTCAATGAAGTGCAAGCCTAACAATGTTCTTGTTCACAGCTCTATTGACTTTTACAGGATGTTATACATATGTAGATACTCGTAGATACTCAGTACACTCTCATCTTGAACTGGTTAAAAAAAATCCATGTAGAATGCATGTCTTGAAGACCTCTAATTAAAACAATGCTTTTTAACAACCATCACTATCTTCCCCTCTTCCCCCGCAACTGAACAAAAACTGCATGTTGATCTCTGTAGGAGTTCACTTTTTTTTTTCTTCAAATTTATTAGCTTCTGTAATTATATAGTCCATTTTATTGTTAAATCAGAAACAGTAAGAGAACACTCTAGGTTGGTATAGTCATTTTACAATGAGCATATCAGCTACAATACCTTTACCTAATGTTGTCAGAAAACCAAAACAGAATCAGAACAGCAATTGATTTATTTTTTGACAAACCTGCTTATTGAGATATCACCTATTCTGTAAGGAAGAAAATACTCAAAAAATAAAAAAGTTAAAATTCAGTTAAAAGCTTGACTTGTTTGGGAGCAATCTCATAAAACTCTTTTTTAATATGAGCACTTCACTTCACAAAATGAAAAACTATTTACATCATTTTGCTTGCAGTTTGGTCACATTATCTACACACATTTGCAGAAGATCTTAGGCAAAATAGGTATGTATCTTCTTCTGACATAGGCTATCAGATTGATTGCACATTTTCCTTTTACATAATGGCTCTCCTATAGTGCACTGAAGTCAGTGATCACTGTCTAATTACATTCTCATTTTAATTTATGGCTCAACAATAAAATCAATAMCACTTCAAACCCAAATATCCGAGCGGCTGAGTTACATATAGTGTGAAACATGTGGATTTCACTTTTTCAGACCACATCTTCAAAAGAATAATGTATCTCACTAGCACAATTAACAAATTGTGCAAAGAAAGAAACAATCTTTGCATCAAATTGGTTTGAAAATCAAGGCATCTTGCTAAATTCTGTCAACTGATTTCCTGCTAGTTACTTCTCATTTAAGAAATGTTCATCTCCTGATGGCACTACAATGAACTTTTCAGCACGYGATTACTGAATTACAGTATCTTTTACATGTATATGCTATATTTAGGCCAATAATGTAATTTCCRTGTTACGCAATATCATTGCCTTCACAAGCAGAGTTGCTACATACATTCACAGTTTCAATAGATTGTAATTAGCTTCTCCAGTTGTGCTTTAAAAATTCCGAATATTTTCCAACAGTAAGTGCAAAGCAAATGTCCTATGCAGCTACAATTGGTCACAGAGTTATAAACTCCAAAATCACGAGAAGAGCCTTCTCTCATTCTCCGTTTTCATCACCTGCTTTTTCAGGTATGACCTCCAGACTTCGACGAGGCTTTGAGATTTCTGTATTTTCAGTGCCTGGTTTATTAAGTCCACATGAGACAGTGGCATAATGGATTTGTTTCAGATTCTCCAGTGCTTCATTTTTAGCATATTTGAGAAGATCAGCTTGTCCCTGTAAAAAAAGAAATRTACTTATAATACACATTTGATAACAGCATTCTCTTCTCTTTCACCCTTCTGCTTGTTTCAGATTAAAAGTATAGTTGCCCTGCTCAAAAAGACCTCCAAAAACAGAATAAGGGAAATACAGAAACCAAAACCAAACCAATCAATCAAACAGACAAAAACCTCCTCCCAAAAAAATAAAACAAAACTCAAATATTTGACGTTATAAAGAGTCAAGCTCTTTGCTTTCTCCAAATCCAGTCCGTGGCATCAGCAATGGGGTAAGGGTAATTTCTGCCCAACAGTTTTCAAGACAGTAATCTGTGCTGTATTTTTAATCCATGGGGGCTATAAATGTTTCTGCATAATGAAAATTGTTACGACTGACTTTAATACTTCAGGGAGCCATTTAAAGCTTTCCTGGTTTCTTGGTTCTYAGGGATTTTTTTTCCCCTTAGTGATGTGATTCACTCAATAGTAGGATGGTAAAAGACCAATGCTTGTCAATGCATGAAATAGGAAAGCACAGGCTGATGAGCAACACATAAAAAGGACAGTGATGACAAAGACTTCACAGGGCTGTCTGCAGTTCAGTGCTATCACCATCCCTCTTTAGAATTATAGAATCATTTAGATTGAAAAAGCYCTTTAAGATCATCAAGTCCAACCCTTAACCTAACACAGTCAAGTCCACCACTACATCATGTCCTTAAGAGCTGCATCACTCTCCCTCTTCAAAGCAATTAAATTATAGGCAAGGCTGTAAGAGAAGTTTTCTCAGGCTTAGGTGATTTGGCTCTTGTTCTTCACTCTTGGTGTTGATTAAAGCCCTCTGACAGYGACAGCTCTGGCTGGCAGACTGTGGACAGCCTTCCCTGCAGCTGCTATCTGCCCACCCTGCCCACATGCAGGGATTGAGCAAGGCTGYAGCACATGGTGAGCACGTCTGGCTTACTGGTGGGCACAGGAAAGCTCAAAAACAAGAGCAGAAGTCCACAAGGGCCAAAGTGACTGTGCTGTGCCCAGACTCCTGAAGGAGAACTGCTCCACAGTTCATAGAAGARTCAACAGTGCTTCAAAAATACCGGAAGGGGAGAAACACACACATACACACAAAAAGTACAGGTGCTTTAGATCCTTGAGACTGACAGTACCAATGTTCAATCAGGTCTGAATACTGATTGCACCCTTCTCCTGTCATGTCTGTCCATCCTGGGTAAATTCTGTCTCCTGACAGACACTTCTCTTGAAGACATACTAATGCCCCTTCTAAAGGTAATATGTTGTCTCTCAGACAAATAAGCTTGAAATGCATCTTTACCTCTTGGCTTTAAAAATAAACGTGGAGAGACAGAATAGCAGTCAGACAAAAATATTTGTGCACTCATGGTGTGATACTTCTGATGCTCCTTTAACAACTCAAAGCATAAATACTATCCAATAATGTATGCACACTTACATATTTGAAACACACAAACTGAAAATGAGTATTACTTTCTTCAAAGAAATAATGTTCCCTCTCCCCTCACCCAAGRCCATAAGCCAAGGGCTTTTTTTTCTGATCACTAGAGTGTTAAAAATCTAGAATGTCACCAGTCACAGCACAAGCTTCAGTAATATTTTCTYCTAAAGGAAACCAGGGCTAGTCCTTTTAAAAATCATATACTTTCTTCCAAACTAACAAACAACTAAAAGCTAATTTAAAACACTCCAGCACACCAAATGAGTCATATCTGGAGTGCATCTGTTTCTAGCCCGAGTTCTATTTTACATGGATTAGTAGAATATAGTTCTGGAATTTTAATCAAGTTGTTTATTATAGGCAGAGCTGCTAGCAAACAGTCTATTAATAAGATTGCCCAAAACTTCTCAGTTAAAAAAACATTCCTGCTTTCAGTTACTTTTATGCTTGCCAAACTTTAACTACTTAAGCTGATACTTTCTATGCAGGATTCTTGCCATCGGCAGATTTTATTATTATTTCTGTTTAATATTATTCTTTAAACTCATCCATATGGTTCGTTCAGTTCTGAGAATAAAGATGGGGGAATTCCATCAGAAATTTGTTAACAATCTTCTGTACTTCCTTCCCTACTCTCACTTGGGGTAGGGACTTGTCATCAAATGACTACAGGTTAGAGGATCCAAGTTATGAGCTTTTAATAAACGAAAATCAGATTTTGAATGTGGTTAGTACAATCACTCAGGATTCCACTCTTGATCATCCTTCATCTCTTGACAGCTCCAGCAATATGGCAAGACAACATGTATTCCATTCCCACAGAATGATGAATGTGCATTAGGAAAAAAGTTCGGGTTTTTTTCTGGATGGCTTCTCCAAGCCACCAACATTGGGTCGCCAAAGAAGGCAGTCCAAAAGCCAGACAAGAGGAAGGGAAGGAAGAGCCTGAGACAGAGACTCTGGAGAGGAGGTGGATAAAGAAAAGGAGGGTGCAAGAGTGATCTCTGGGTCTGAGCTGGCAAAAATCTAGGACGCCAGAGAGGGAAAATGGACTGCCCTATACAGAACAGACACTAGATCTTACTGTAAGAGGAGACTGTGAAACACAAACACTGAATTTGGATCTGACAGGTGAGCAGAGAAAGGTAAAGATTGAGGTAACACTTGCAGCTGGAATACAGAAAGAAAAGATTGACAAAATTCACCATATTGAAAAAAGACTAAAAATTACAGACACATGGAAGGACTAACAACTCAAAGAGGCTGAAAGAGATTGGTAATGAGAATAAAAGCTGCTGAGAAAGAAAAACAAAAACACTGAGCAGGGAGAAGRCTGCTGAATGCAATGAATCAGGTGAGGTGATGAGAAAATGAAAACTAACACTCACTGGGAAGGATCTCTAGAGGAGAGGAGGAAGAAGAAAATATCAGGCACAAAGTAAGAACAGAATAGTGGATGTAGGAAAGTGGGGAAGAAGGAATCAGAGGTTAGCAGGAAAGGCTGATTTCCAGCAGGGAAGTGTGAGTGTCTGGACAATACCTATCAGGGAAGATGAACTTCGAAGACAAAAGAGGATCTAGGATAAAGGGCTGGATTATTGCTGACAAGGTGTTCAGACTAAACACAGTCAATCAAGTGGTACCACATTCAGACAAGGGTGAAATAGAAAAATGTATCAGTGCATGTAATTCTCTTCTCCAATGCTCAGAATTTATCTCTGCATGCCATTGAACTGAGAAAAATGTTTGTGAAACCAACTGTGTTGTCACTACTTGTTGGTAYGTCTTGACCTCAAGAGAAAACAAGAGCCAACCACTGCCACCAAATATTCCATGAGCTCAATTGAGAGCTCTGCACAACTGATGTGAAGTGCCTAGTTCTGCAGCTATACCATCATGAAGACATGCTGGGGAAATAAAACAGCATGCACCTCAAAAATTCAAGTTGTAGTCACAGWGAACACTGTTGAAAAGTAATACAGTGCATTTGAAAGGCAGGAAATTTAAAAAGTCATCCAGATCTGCAAAAAAACTGCCATCACACACTCAATTAAGCAATTTCAGATGTTCCACCTAGTTAGGGATCAAATGTCTCTTCTCCAAGGGCTCTCAAGATTCAGTTTCAATTCTTTGTATTCTACGCACCCTGATTTTCRCAGTAGGTGCCATTGACTTAAAAGYKAAGTTAATAGCAAAGTCAGTTGATTACAAGCTGGAACATGGGAATCTCTTGGATCTATGGACTACTCAGGGTTCTTTCTCCTTCTTAGCASACCCAAATGACTGTAACAACTTGCTCTGCTAAAATGCATTGTGGTAAAGTCAATACAAGAAACCTACAAACAGCTCAAACTTCAGGCAAGCAGATTTATCTCAAGKAAGTACTGAAAACCCCCATTCCAAGAAACAAAGCTGATTTGTGCAGACAACTCAATGCTGGGATATGGAGCAGTTGCAGAAGCAAACCAGCTTGTTTCTTGCTGTGCAAGAAGGGCTGTCTTCACCAGGCTCTCATSTCAGATTAAGTCTAAATATAAATTAATTTAGTCCTCAGTGTTGTCTGGCGTGCACACCAAAAAACTTGAATTTCTTTCCAGCACTGTGGTTAGCAGGCAGCCTGTGGTAATTCCCAACTGGGAGCAGGATGGATCCAAGCCTTGCAGAGCACTGGGAGAGCKCTCTCCTCTCAGCAGCACACGGCAACCACTGCTCCCTTTCCTTCACCAGTTATATTCACTAGCAGGACTGAGCACTGTTTAACTTGAATATTTCATGTACTGATGTTTACAAGCTTCAGAAAAAGTTGTTTTCTAGGCATTTATTTAAAAAGACCTGAAAGAAGATCAAAGAACAAAACTGATACAGCTTTTAGTAAATAACAGCAAGGAAGAATATGGATAAATTTGGAATTCAGTACCCTTTACACCTCTCTGGCCCAATATGCCCGTGCCATCTAGTCTGGTTAATTTTTTCTTTTAAATCATTGTTTAAAACATTCTGTTTGTTTTGAGACTTTTGGCTAAGAGGCAGTGTTTTTGTATCACAGCTCCTCAACTGTAACAAAAAACAAAACCAAAATGGTTCCTATCAATTCTTATACATGCAAAATGAGGTACCATTTCAGAGTCAATTGGACATAGGATGGACTAGAATGTCTCAGCATAGCTACCTTCATAAGCTGTTATGTATTCACTCATGATTTTTGATTAACTGGCTCTTCACTAAATGTGTGAACCTGAAAGTAAAACTGTCCAGATGACAATTGAAATAACTGCAAGAGCACACTTTCCCCCAAAAAATCCCTCTACCATTAATGATAGAAATGTGTGGGCTGTCTGTCATTAATGTGTGGGCTTTAGCTCAGGATCTGGAACTTGAAGTTCCTATCAGGAAATGTGTGAAGCCAGTATCCCTTCCTCAAAGCACAGTGGAACATTGCTGTGAGCTACATGGAGTAGTGGGGGTGTCCCTGCCAGTGGCAGGGGGACTGAAACCAGATGATCTTTAGGGTCCTTTCCAACCCCAGCCATTCCATTCTTCTATGGCACACTCCAGAGTTCCATGCCCAGYTGACACGACTCTGAGTGAACTTTTGGAATCAGGACATAAAAGCCCAAACTTCCTAACTTCTAAATAAGGGTTTAATTAGGAGCCAAAATCCCATCAGTCCAGTGACATCAAAAATCTAGTAGCTTCAGATATTTAAATTGAACTGGGATGTTGGAGGTCTTCTGAGGACCTACAGGACTAGTTACTATCTGAGGCTTTATGAACACTCCATGGCTGCTGGAATTCACTTGGAGATTTGGTTGAAAAAGCTCCAGTTATTTTTAAAAACTAAGAAGCTGTAGTCCTATAAGTGCCTTGAATGTTCCATTTATAAATACATTTTTAAAAATACTGTAGGTGCAGAACCAATGCTATTACAGAAATAACAGATGCCATGGACTGCATGCCTTGGGATTTCTTGCAGGAGAAAGTAATTCACGTCATAKAATGTGACATGTCTAAAAGCTCATAGCCAACAAGGAACMTCTAACAAATACTGAAATTAGGAGWACCTTTATTCCAARTACTTCCACTGAGCTCTCCCTTTGTGTTTAGAATAGCTCTTCATTGCCAAAACTAATTTACAGATGCTGTTATGTTCTTCCTATGAGCATTTCAAATTCTGAGCCTTATAGGGTTTTTTTTTTAATTTTTCTATGCCAGACAAGTCCACAAATCTTTACAATAGGTTGTAGGAGTCTGCTGCAATGGCACATAAGGGTGATTTTCTTTCTTCAACAGTACTTGAGACTTGAGGCAGAAAATGAGACTATCTATGTTTAGAAAATATGAATTCTATCAGCCTGAGTAGTAACAATAAATAAATTACTAGCAAATAACTGTCTATATGAAAGAGAATAATATTCTAACAGTTTATAATCCCTAAATCAGGCAACAGACCAAATTTACTCCCAGTGATGTTCTGAAGTTAAATATCTCTGTGTACATATTTGGGGTGAATAGAAATGGGCATGTGTGCATATTCACATATACAAATTGGATGGAAGTAATTTCAGCTGAATTCAAACATACTATACTAATAATAAATTTGGCCACATGGCTTCAAATTAAGAAAAATTAAATCCTTTAAAACAGTAACTGTAATGCATGTGCATGCAAAACACATATAGATATTTAATGACTGCCTCAGATGTTCTAAACAAAGAGTTTTCTTAGAATTAAGCTGTCAGTTTTGTTCAATGTTGTATTTTATCAAACTTTCCATTGCATCAACTGCAGTCAAATGTCCCAATTGAAAGAGAACGATCAATATGTGTCTTGAGGGTAAAATGCAGCTTAATTGGTTTGGAAAATACATTAGCCACACCATGTGAGCATTCCATGATTCCTCTGTGTGGGAGACGAGGATGGTGCTCATGCAGGATTATTAAGTAATGCTGTTCAGAGCCATACAACAATTCCTATATCGTAGTCAGGAGTTCATGTATTGTTCTGTATTTCCACATGTATTTTTGTATTATTCGAGAAGGAAGTTAATTTGAAGGCATGGAATTCAACAGAAAAAGCCTTAAAGTGATTCAGATTGTCACTCTTCTGCTCAATTTCTACTCTGAAAAATGTGGATGATCACTTTTCATGCCTGTTCTCTCAGAGTTTTTTGAGAACTGAAAACATGTTAATGGAAAAACAGACTGAAATMGTGATTGCAGATATTTTTCTCCAGACAGGAAGAGCAGTGTCTTAGAAACTGTTTAACTTCTGCTTAATTACATGATACAAGAGTATGGTTACAGCCTCTAGTTAAAGAGTCTGGAGTGAAAAACCTCAGTGTGCCACTTCAAACAAATCTCAACCTTTTACTTTCTGTACATCTAAACATGAGCAACAGCACTTAGCAGATGTTTGTCTGAACTGCAGTACCTGTAAATAACTTCTAAGATGTAACAACATACCAGAACTTTCTGTAACACCTCCTGTTAAAGTTCAACTGCAGGCTAATTAAAATCCCACCAGTTGTTTTAATTAAAGTATTAATTGTAGGACAAATTGTACCTTCCTCAAGAAAGGGTCTTAATTTCTGAGTAGAAAAAAAACACCAAGTCAATCTTGAAGAGATTTTCTCAATAATTGTTTCAAAAGGAATGCCTTCCAACTTCATAATTACGTTAATCCTAAGGACATGCCATAAGCCCTACGGTGATCCTCAGAGCCAGATCCACCATGTGGCTTCTCCAATTCCTGGCTAACACAGAAATCACGACTTCACATTTCAGACACTCACCAACTGCAAACCTCCCCCCCACCAACCCTTATGTTCAGAATGTAAAGCAGAGATGAAGCAAAGGTACTGCTGTTTCAGGCAGAATTAAAATAGATTTGCCTATCCAAGCTGGTATCCGACACCTTTGACAGAAAAGAAGGGRTAAGAATTTATTTCTTTGACATTTGCCCAAAACTACTGAACTGACTCTTCTCTATCCCCTTGGAAGCACAGGGCTGACACATGACACATTCCCTACACTGTGTTCAGGAAACTCTTCTGATACAGGATATGTGATATTCTGGTCCTTCACCTATAAGCAGAACCTGCGTGCATATTTTTAGAATGCATTAACTGTACATGCTGTAGCAAATTTCACCACTTTTTGATTCTCCTCAGCATTGGATTTGCGCAGTGTAACGCAAGAGGGATTGGAGCACCAAGCAACATCATGAAAAGCTTAACAGTTCAAACCAACACAGAAATCTGGAGAAAAATATATGCATTACTGCTTTTCTGTCATAGTTCACTGTAAGAAGAGGCGGGATGGAACTGTATTTTCAAGAGCTAAAAATAAAAACTATGTGGGAGAAAATAATTTTCTTTATAATTAAAACAGACTTTATAGTTTAATGGAGTAGTGAACAAGTATTTGACTGAGTGGGAGAGAAGAACTCATTAGTGGATGTAAACACAAGACCTGAATAATTTGGGCTAGAAGAATAGCGTCAAGGGAATAAATTAAGGGAGGCAGTTTTGCTATCTCTATAAATTTTGATATACTTTGCTGAGATCAAAGACCACYGATAGGAAACCTGAACTGTTCCATGTCCTGAGGGTCTCTGGCTGAAAGCTTTTCTTACACTTCACCATTTACTCTTTTGTCAAAATGCAAGCAAATGTGCTCAAGAAAATGTCGACAGAGTCACCAGCTCATGCACTCAATTTTTTCCAGCCTGGATTATGAACATAATTTGCTTCTACCATTAATCACCATTCATCACTGACTGCAGCAGTAACAGCTTCCCTTTTGTTTTTCAGTAACTGCATTAACCTTAACACCTATTCCCTTTCAAATCACAAAACAGGGTTTAAACAATGGCATAGCTCCCTCCCAGCCCGAGCCACTTTGCAGAAGTCAAGACTCATTGTTCCAGCTGGGTATTAAAGATTACCAAGGATCCTGCTAATGTTAAAAGGTTGCAAGAAGAGAATGTCAGACAGACTAAATGAAACAAGCTTCTATAACCACACAAGAAAAGAAAAAGTCACATTGAGAGTCTGCTGTTTTTCACATTATAGAAACTAAACTGTGATAACAGAAGTGAATAAATCCAGTAGAACCATGACACAGAGTAAATGACCAGTAACAATGTTAGAATGACAGTTTTGAACAGAAAAAATGGTAACTAATCAAAGGAAGACACATTACCTTTAAAATTGTAATGTTCCATGTAAAACTTTCTACTGATTTTTGCAGTTTTCTTTCTTTTAGGCCTTCTCTCGCTCCTATATTGTGCAGGTTTTCATGAAACTCCATTGCTGTGGAGAAYAAAAGAGGGAGGAATATAATATCTATTTTAGTGCATTTCTGTGATCACAGAGATAGTGATTGTAAACTGATATGGCAAAAAGACAGTGAAAAAGCTTGAAATTTTATTCTTCAAGCACAAATCTATTTGATGTAGTAAGATACCACGTTATATAACATGCCAATATATACAAATCTCTCTAAGCCAAAATCCACCGAAGAACCTGCTGGATCATTGCTGTACAAAGATGGAGGCAAGCAAGTATTTCCAACAGAAATAAAAWCTCTAAACACAAATGATTTTGTTGTACCACACATAGAAACCTTTTTGTGAGATGCTATAGGATGGAAACAGTAATTTTGGTAACTATTCTATCCCAATCATCACAGTTGTCCAGGGAACAGCTTATATGGTGGGGTTTGCCCAGAAAATAAACACTTTATCCTCAAAGAATAAAGGAATAACTGTGAAGGATGAATGCCAAGTGAACTTGCCTAGGAATGCCAAAGACATTTCACCCCACCATGTAAACTGTGTCCACAAAACCTGTACCCACTAAATTCCTAATCAAATTTTTTTGGCAAAATTCAGGTTAGCTTGATCTAAGCACTGAGCGGACCAACCAAAGTTTTAGTTTCTACCCAGCACTCCACACGGATAGCAGGAACATAATTTGCTTTCCATGCTGCTTTTACAAGCCATATACAAATAAACTTTAAATAGTTTCCTTCACACAGGAGAAGTAAAATGTCCTTCCACAGGTAMACACAGTAACCCAACATGGATTACAGCTCCTCTCGGATGAAAGTCATACTTCAACTGTGCTCTCAGGATCTCCAATAACACACAGGGTATTCWGAGGTCAAAAGCTGGCAAGTGGTTGTGACTTACCCCCATGAATGTAAAACCAAATTATAGTAAAAGTACAAATTATAATTTTAACTATGGTGGTTGAGATGTTCTGTTTGTCCAGTGAGTATGTGTGCTTCAGAATTTACAATTAACTTAATTATGATTAATAAGCGTACAAACTTGGGTTGGCTGTCAATCCAAGAGAAGACTGACTTTTAAGGACATTAAAAGTATCTTTTCTTCCTAATCTCTCTATCCCACACTCATGTCTCATTAAAAGAAAGAGAGATGACTGAATGTTTTCATTGTACATTCCCTTACCCTACTCCCACATATAGACACACATTTTTAAAAGTATTCATAGATTCATTTGAAAGGCAAAATTGTTCTTTCTACCTTTTCTTACTGTTTTAAATTTTGCTACAAGAAAAATAATTGGCAAATATTTTCCCTGAATTAACATAGTGTATCATTTTTATTTCAATCACTTCTCTATAGCTCTGCCTCTGCAGTCGCAAATATAATGTTCATATTATATTTCCCAAAACAGATTTCTAAACAGGTGAGAAATTAAAAGTTCATTAACCCATCATTGTTTCTAAGGATCATTTCCCATTCATATCAACCAAAAAACTTCCAATATGATTATGGAAATATTATACACAGATCCATATTTATATTTCTCCAATATTACAAATCTCGAGCCATTGTGACAGTACAGATTTTCTGATCCGTACAATGAATTCTGAGGCATACTGGTAAACTTTTGGAGTTCTGTACCACATTTCCATCTTTACAATTATTGCTTTTTAAGCTGGTGGACAGCAGCAATCAATAATAACTTTGAACTAAAGCCTCTCAGAGAGATATTAAAAATAATGCTGAGGACCTGCATGTTAAATGTGAAATTGGTGCTTTGTAGATTTCAGATTATTCCTATGTATATGAAGTTCATGATATCACAGACGTGGACACAATGGTAACCATATAGTCTGCCAGCCAGAAAAGTTCCTTTTTTCACCAACAACCTTCTGCAGTGATGCKCTTCCCTCTCTACACTCATATTATGATAAATTTCTGTTCTGCCAAAGTCATTCCATTCCAGCTAAGTACTCTTGGAAATTGGCAGGAAAATCTCATCACCCTTCTTCAGCAAAGGAAGCAGTCAAATCATCCTACCAGGACGCACACGTGTGAACCCTCAGCTAACRGGAGCCTCGTGCTTAAACAGCACTGATCACCCCCTGTCCTCAACACCTCTCACAGGCTGGCCAGCGCCTCACCATCATGCTGCACTAAACCTATCCTACTCTAAGCCTAAACGTACCARCAGGGACAAGTAGATTTGAATTTTATTTCCACTTCCATTACTAGCTCTTGACTGATTAACTGAAATGRATTATTTCATCTCTTTGTCTCAGCATTTCCATCTGCTGAATAGAATGAATTGTATTCACTTCACAATACATGGACAACTAAATTTTAGCRTACAACTGCAGCACAACATTTAACTATTGACTATGTCTCTCTTGATATTCCTCTTATACATTCCCACCTGGTTTTCTTGCATTTTGCCTTGGAACTATTTTACACATTAACTCTAACAAAGGAATAACACAAATGTTAAATTCTGAATTTAAACCTCTTAYAAGAAAACAGAAAAAGGAAGCAAGAGGAAAGGCATTCTCACTCACAGCAAAATTAATATAATAAATTATATGTCCATATAAACCCATGTAAGCGTGCCTTTAGGATATGCTTGCAAAGAAAACTCAATGCTAAATTACGTTTTTTATATGCACAATTTTCTGGCTCCTTGCAAGTAAAAATTCAGCTCTCACTCTCATTAAGATATAGTAAACAAGTCACTTTTATGAGGCTTAATTACTTCTAGAATTATTAGTCAATTAGTAATTTTGAACTGCCTGAGAGCTCTTGAATGATAACAGGCATACTATTAACCTGATGTATCACTCTTAATGTATTTTTGCATATGCCACCTCAATCGAAGAAAGCACAAGTTAGCCATATTTTCCATTTATTGTAGCAGATGTTAAGATATAATGCACAACTTTCCGAGTGATCATGAAGAATATATAAGATGTGTGCTCTTCAGTTTGGATGGCATTTCTCATGTTTTCATTTTTGCCCCTTGCACAAATGTATTTATCTACAATGAAATTATTATTGATTGTTGCCTTGGGCCACAAAGMTCAAGTCTAAAAAGCTTTTGACTGGAAATGTCAACTTGACTAAAATCTTTATTTGCTTAGAATCATTGAGATTGGAAGGSACCTTTAGACAAACTCAGTTGCCCAAAACTAGGATCAGATAGAACAGCTGGCCCAGGAGAGTGCTGAACTCAGCACACTCTGTTGAACATCACCAAGGGTGGAGTCTCCACCACCTTTCCTGGGATTGAAGTGAGGYTGACTGGTTTGGTTCTACTTTCCAGCTTTCTCTAACTTGTTTCACTGTGGTAACTCTACTGCTTATGACAGTGTGATGAGGTTTCAAACATCATTATTTGATCCCCTTCTGAGTTTCTGCTAAGGGCATTTAGTTTGCATAACCTGCATCAAGAAGTCTGGCCATCACTGCATAAGACCGGGTGAGCTGACGGAAACCATACAACTTCCTGAGCAGCTGCAAAATAAAAACTGATTCACGTCTTCCACATTAAAAAGACCAACTTTCTAGCAAAACATTCAGCCCAACAATACAGTGCAATATATGTAACAAAACAGCAACACCATGATTTAACAGCAGGTACACTGACCAAAATACTGCCAACAAATTGTCCTAATCATAACCAGAGGTTTCACAGCAAATTCTTCTCCACTGCTGTACACTTGTTAATTCTAAAGCATTCTCATAAGCAATCCTTCAGTATTTCCAAATAATATTTTCCCCTCACCAAATCTCTTTCTGGTTCCCAAGTGAATGSTGGATAGTTTGAATTTCATGATTGTCTCAGCTTTTCCCTCTCCCTCAGACCCTTTCCCAGAGCCCTGCATGCATTAGATGGCTTTAACACTTCTTCATTCCTACTGAGAATATCTTACCATTCAAGACGCTATTTGAACTTTTACGTACCATTCTCTTCTCCCATTTTCAATAACTTCAAACAGCATGAGGAAAAGAGAAATATTATAAGGCTACTCGATGCAGTGGGAACCATGAATCACTGAGGAGACTAATAAAATTTGCTTGATTAGTCTAGCATAAAGAAAATCAAAAGAGGAGCAAYGGCTCTCTAGAAACTCTAGACCAGTCAGGTGAGACCTCAGACCTCAAAGGATCATTCAGCTAAAGGACGATATTAGGATGGATATCTACCAGCAAAATAGAAATTTATATAAAATTTATTACTGTTGTAGATGTGGTTCCATAATTAGCCTTGAAAATYAGAAAATTACTCAGATCAAAAACTCCATTTTAAAACACAGCTTGGTATGATCCATTTTCCAAGAGCTGTACCTTACACTCCTGTGTTTCCTCAATCAGCTGCAGGATGACCTACAGTATTATATGCCTGGGTTCTCAAGCCTGTATTAATTTATGCTTAACATTTCTGATGGAACATTTATGTCCATAAAACTCAAAAAGGACTAAATGACAGTATAGAAAGCAAGATGTCTTATTGCTATGATATACTTTAATAACATAAACTTCTAAATTAAACACACAAGGCAGTATAATTGTTCTGGCAGGATGATAATTTTGAGCCATCACTTGTCAGAGTAACTCCCAGATTGGAACTTCAGCTTTGTTTTATGTTCTGGATTCTTAGTATTTCATTTTTCACAAATATGTTCAGTAGATATAAAACCTTTCAGTACTTACACCATTCATATGAGCTAAAAATATGTGTTATTGTTCTGCCCTGGATATTGTTGTAGTGCCAACACTGTATCTTCACCMAAAAAAAAAATTATTTGGTGATATATCTCGATACTATTAAAAGACACTCAYCTTCAAACATATTTAGCTTGGATAGACAGTTTCTTCCTTTCTTTAAATGAAGCTACTTCATACGGAATTCATTATCCTTAATTACTAACTAGAAATGACACCTGTTGAAGTTGGTTAGCAATTCCTCCCACTACTGGGCTTTCACCATAGTTCCAAAGTACCGCTTAAGATATTGATYAAAAT